ACGTGTCAAATTCTGATTTGCCAAATTTGGCCAAAAATCTTCCCGATTAATTCAGCTTCCAGCTGACTCCCAATTCGGCCAAATCGGAAAGAAGCCTCTTTAAAAACCAACTCCTTTGACCTCCAGTCAAAAGCCTCTCTGCGACGCTGCAAGCTGATAAAGCCAAACAGCTCTCTTTTCAGAGGCAAGCAAACATCCACCTTAGACGCAAACAAGCATTCCAGCTTCCTGCTTTCCCCTCGAGGGATCTCAGACTGGACGGGTCCTATTGGAGCTATCAACAGGTTCCTGATATCAGAGGTTCACTCCACCGGCAGTGACATGCACGACCCCCCGGATCGAACAAGAACCTCCACACCAAGGGTGCGTAGACTTGGCACAACAGATTGCGTCTGATGCTGTTTTTAAATAAACAACTCTCTAGTTTATAACCAAACAATAAATTCTTTTACACCCAGACTTCACAACTTTCTCAGATACAAAGAACGGTTCCTACAACCTCTAGCTTCCATCACAACACCTCACATTCATTACACCACATCACATTATTCATATCTTGTCATGTATAAATGATTAGTTTAGGAAAAATAATTAAATTCATTTTATAAACTAAATACTGACTCTGTCTGAATTAATACGAAGTGTGTTTATGGTCCCGAGAGAAGCAAAGAACCCTAGAATCTTCTGATTAAACATTCAAACATCAATCAGATTGATATTTCATATTTACATGGAATCATCACATCTTATTGGCAATAATTAGCAAATGTTTTTCACTACATCACCTTTGTTGGTTAAGTACATAACGCCACACGTGTTCATTCATAGTTGTGATGCCTTCAGTGAGAATCTCCCAATGTCATTTTCATGGTCATGAAAATAAAGACGACACATTGAATGAGGTGTGTCCAAACATTTGGCCTGTACTGTAAGTGAGACACACTTAAAACAAAAAGAAAACCTTTACAATAAAAGTTATAGAAAAATATATGTTCCACTCTTGTATATATCTTTGAAATGTGTCAGCCAGGATTTGGAGCTGATCTGGGATGTTAGAAACCCAAATCGATGTCTTAAATGTGCAAAATAAAACCTGGCTCATGCAGTTAGTCTTGTGTTCACACAGCATATCTCATTATATCTGCATGTCTCAGAGCAGGAACATGTTGTGCATGTTTATGTGTCTGAGAGAAGCAAAAGGAGCAGAGGACATTTTATCTTTAATGAAGTGGCCATTCAGGACCACATAACAGCAGCCATAGTGTGTCCTGCATTACTAACATGTTTCATTATTGTGCTTTTTATCCAAAGTTAATGAAGCTAATAATTATTCCATGCTACAAACAGGATATTACAGGTTCTGGTGGAACAAAAGGGAATCAATCTAGCCTGATGCACAAAGTGAGACTGCATTTTCTCATTAATTTTCTGGGATATGAATTGATTTGAACAAAGGGGTAATTATGCATACCTTCATGTTTGCTTTATGCATTCTCTTTCTCAATGTTTAATCAACGAAGCGAGGTAAATTACTAAGACATTTTGTCACATAAGCAGGAATGAAAATCTTTTTTAGCTTTAAACTGTCAATATAAAATAAATCTGTAAAAAAATTAAACCTTTATTTTTATAGGAAATGTTTGTAAGAATGGTTTAGCTGGGATGTTAACAACAAAACACCCAGTTTTTTTTGCAGAAGGACAAAAAACTACATTTAAGAAAGTTGAGCGTCTCAAGAATAAGAGGCCTGCAGGCCAACCTATCAAACGCCTGACTCCACAGAGACTCACATCAGTGCTATCAAGCACATCCACATTTTGACACTTACACCAAAATGTGTGACTTTCCATTCAGATTGAACGGCCTTATGACACTTTGTGACAGCTTAAACAGGAAAAGATGAAATGAATTATTCTGTGCAGCTTAGAAATGTCTGTGCCCAAGGAACAAGAGCAAATACTTTATAAAACCAGACACATTTTACAAGTATTCATCAAAATGTATTAATCAGATAAAATGGACTACCTGCAACAATCTGAATAAATACGAGGGCCTACGAAATTTGTTTCATTGATTTACTTTTCATTCGGAGCATTTTTATGTGGCCTGCGAGATAATTATCAAAAATATATTAAAACTGGCCCGCTGGCCGATTTTACCGCAAAAACTACAACTCCCATGATGCTTTGCAGCGTTAGCGTGGAGCCGAAGTGCCTCCTCCTTTGTGTTTTTTTCCAGCGTCTGCTGCCGGTGTCTGCAGCTCCGTTGTCTCGGACAAACTAAACACTCCTCTCACTCAGCGCCGAGGTTACTCAGCTATTTGCCGACGTTGAAGCCCAGAAACAGAGATTTTAACCGCTCAGTAATGTGTTCATGACTGAAAGAGAAACTTTTCCAGCTAACTTCCAGACAGAGCTGATATAACTCCAGCGAACAGCGACACGCTCAAACCAGCATGACTCTGTGGCTGCTGTAGTTGTTATTTTTCCTCCCCGACACACAACAACGCGGTCAAGCTGCTCAGACATGTTCATCAGCACAAACCTATGTGAGCACCTGTTGTCATCTAATGTTGTCATTATTATGATGAAGATAAACAAAACAACAGGAGTCTCCTCCTCAGCTCAGATCAACCCCATGATGCAGGTATCTGGCTGGAACAGGTGAGCATCACAGTAAACCAGTGGAACAAACTGAGCTTTAACTATGTTGGTTTTATGCTCTTTTTCTGCTCCAAAACATGAAAGTTAACAGGTGAGATGTTGCATTTTCATTTAAGATAAAATGAAATTTTTATGTTGTTGGCCCGTGAGAAAAGATTTAACCTACAGTAAACAGGAAGTGGAAAGGCTGCAGATAGATGAATAGAATAGAAAATCCCTTTATTGTTCCTCAGTGGGGAAAGCTAGATGTCACAGCAGCGATGACACTTATTACAGGAGAAAAAAAGGAGAATAAAAAATAATAAAAATGAATAAACAAGAAAACACAAATCTCCACAAAGCTGCTGAATATACCACAATTAATGAATACCACTGATGCGTTTATTTAAAACTGACTTGCTCGTGTGTAATTTGGTTATTCCACATTCAGTGTTAATGCAGAAATAAGTTTGTTTCCAAATTAAAAGGTTCAAATTGCATATATGTTGATAAAGAAAATGTGCAAATTTGCCGTCACTTTTTCAAAAAATATTAAGTTTGGCCCGTGACTCCGTCCCAGATTTTCATTTCGGCCCAGTGTGAATTTAAGTTTGACACCCTTGATGTAAAGGATAATTTTAGCTCCTACTAGCTCAAGAAAATTATTTTAAAATATGAAAAAGTTGTTTAATATGCCTTTAAAGGGATAGTCCACCCCTAAGTGAAATTGTGTCTATTTCCGTGTTCCTCTATCTTTTCCGCGAGCCGCTTCTGATATGCGTAAATTGCTGTAGTTAACATAGGGCTAGACAGGAAGTCACACACGGTTTCAGTGTAAGATCCCCAGTAATGTTCTAAATTAAAGGACTGCAGCGATGCCATTATATATATATATATATATATATATATATATATATATATATATATACGAAGCTTACGTGTGACCCGACGGCTTATTTACTCACAGCATCGTTCCAGAAGTGCAGTGGTGTGTTTTTCATGGCTTTAACCCCGGCAGTGGAGAGGAACAACTTCATATATGACATCCAACAGTGTTAACGTGATTTCCTTCTTTTGGGTTTAATGGTGGACGGCATAAACAAACTGTAACCTTTGAAGTCTCGAGGGATTTTGTGATCGAGTGAGGAGCACGGCGGAGAAGCGCTTCGCTGATGAGACTCTCTCCTGGAGTGCTGTGATTGTCGTGAGTAAATCGTTCTGCTGCCGTTCTACTTCGCTGATTCTTTCAGTGTGCAGCCGGGGTTACTGCCGGCAATGTAGACCAAGCTCTGTCACCGGTCATACAGGGACCTAACAGCCCGCATTAGAGGGCCTGGTACCCCATACTACCCACAGGGCCTCTCGAGGGACGTGGTCATACGCCTTCTCCAAATCCACAAAATACATGTAGATTGGTTGGGCGAACTCCCACGCACCCTCCAGGACCCCCTAAGGGTATAGAGCTGGTCCAGTGTTCCACAGCCAGGACGAAAACCACATTGCTCCTCCTGAATCCGAGGTTCAACAATCCGACGGACCCTCCTCTCCAGAACCCCTGAATAGACTTTACCAGGGAGGCTCAGGAGTGTGATCCCTGTAGTTGGAGCACCCTTTATAAATAGGGGGATCACCACCCCAGTCTGCCCCCAATGTCAACATGATATTGCAGAGCTGCGTCCGCCAACACAGCCCCACAACGTCCAGAACGTCAAGGAACACAAATCACTCTACTAAAATAAAATACAGCAGAGGAGAACAATGAAAAGAAAAGAAAATCTAATTTAAATGTCAAAGAATATAAAAGGAACTTTTTATTAGGCTTCATTAGCCTCATGTGTAAAGGCAGGACACACTCAACAGCAGAAATAAAAATGCAAATCCCATGCTGTAGGTTTATTGGGTATTTGGGGCCTTAGTGGATGGTTTCCCAAGACAACTGGCCACCTTTGCCTAATTTGTCTAAGTTCATCTCTGATAGAAACACGTAGCTCTTTCTGCTCCTTTATAGGAGGCAGGCAAGTTGACCACCAAAGAAGTACTGATCAGTCACAAAAGTTTACTTTGGCTGAATGTGGCTCATAGTTTACTGTGATAGTAACATTTTGCTGATAATGAGTCACAGAAAACACTGATTTCCATTGCTTTTTTTGTCCTATTGAAAACCAAAATGATGGTTGGGACATAAACTACCCAAAACTCTGATAATCCTAATCTATCCCAGGTCACTGAACTGATAGGAAGCACCCTTGTGACAAAACAAATGAAGTTAATTGGTAAAAACCACGGAAAAGTGTCAACGAAACATTATTGCTTGTTATTTATCTAGGACTCTGAACATTGTTTGTGGCTAATTCTCACCTGGGATGTTATGAATAGTGATGGCAAGTATGAGGAGGAGAATTCGGCGCCAACTGCTGCCCATCGGGCCAATTGCTTCGTGCTGTTTACTTCCTGTTTCCTGTTCTTCGAACTGGGTAGAATTAGGTCCTCTTTTTCTCTTGTAGACTTCCCCATTCTCAATCTTATCTGAAGGGCAAAGAAGACAAAGTATAGCATAAACATCAAACAGTGGAATTTCTCCTAAAACTGAGGGAAATGGAAGGACTATTGACCAAACAGAATTATGGCTCCATTAGTCACATTTATGATCCAAAGCATGCCAGTGAATTACAAACAAATGAAGTATACAAGATTTTCTTCTGCTCCTTTTCATTCAGGTGTTTGTAAGTTGTTCATTCATTTTGTTATTTTCTTTTAAAATAATGAAATAAATGAAAAAAAAAAAACTACGCAGCTACACTCATTTTCCCAACAAATATTTTTTGAAAATAATTGCTCTTCTCTGAGTGAGGCATGCATAGCTAAAGGTTAGAAAGACCCCAAAGGGTTTCAGCAGGCTTCAATATAGAGTCCTCTGGTTTCTCCCAACAGGAGAGCTTGTCGGATGGCAGAAAAATGCCTGAAAGCTTGTAGACTGCCAGCTGCCACAACAACCTCGATTATACTCCAAAATACAACATCAGAAAAAGCAGGCCCACTTCATTCATTGACCTGACAGCTTTATCTGCTTTTCATGTCTAGCTTCAGAAACAGGAAACACTTTTAATGCCTCCCACAAAAAAGTGATGAATAAGTAAATAGTTGCATCCCTTAAAGATGTGGTTCACTCATTTAATCAATATATTTGCAGTGGTCTCAAGTAGGAATCAATAAGTCGTACTAGGGGAAAAACAGCTCAAATGTGCTTGTTTCAGGAAGTACAAGTCAGCTGAAGGAGAAGGGGGCTGCAGATGATGTGGAGTGTTATTTCCTAACATCTCTCCTCTGATTGGCTAACATCATTGTAACTCTACCTCTGACTCTATTTGCTCTGCAATGTTGATGTTTTATCTCCACAAACAACACAAGCCTGGAGGAGTTCTGCTATGTGGTAAGGATGCCAATTCTAATGGTTAGCTTCTAACCAAGCTATTCCCTGCTGTTTCCTGGATGCTAAACCAACAACAACCTTTCCCGTCTAGAGCCAAGATGGGCGAGTCCATGAATGCTAAACGACAGAGTGACAGAGATCTGTCAGACTTTAAATCCCAGCATTTGACTCTGAATTTACCATCAGAAGCTAATGCAAGAGATAGGGTTAGAAGCGGGCCCGGATGTAGGCATGGGCAAGGAGAGGCAATGCCCCCCCAAAAATAGTAATTGCCCCCCCCCCCCCCCCCACCCCCCACCCCATGTGATGACATGTAGAAATCCCAAATTTGAAAAGATTTGAGGAAAAAGGGTCAGAGTGCTCTCCTCTCTCTCTCGCTCATTCAAAGTAGCCGCTGATTGGTAGATGCAAAGGGAGGGTGTGGCCAGCCACTGCACTTGGTTCTCTGTTGCGTCACTCGCCTCACGCTCTCCCTTTTCTCAAGGTTTCAGTTTGCCTCGTTCTTTTCTTTCATTTGTTTTTTAAGTGAACCGAGTCGACTTGCGCAGGTTTCTGGTTTCTAAACCTAGCTACAGTGCTAAGGCACTAGCGGCAGAAACCGGCTCGTCGGCTGCTGCTTCTCAACTCGCCACAACCCCCGTGTTCAGGGCAGTACTGGAACAACCAGTTGCACAAGCGCAGCAGCCCCTCCTGCTGTCCCCGTCGCTACCAACCCAGCCGTCGCCGTGGGTGACACAGACCTGAACAGTAGCGCACCGTCCCAACCCACCGCTCTTGTTTTCCCCAAGTGCCATTTTGGGAAGAACATGTGCTCATTTTGCCCCGCCTGATATCGTGAGAGACCATGGCTGGAATATTCAGTATAGCTGGATGCATGCTTTTGTTTCCCATGTCGTAAGTTTGGGGGGAACAATGATAGGGATTTGGCTTTCACAGAACAAGGATTTAATAATTGGAAAACAGCACTGGAAAAGGACAAAGGATTCACAAAGCATGCATCAAGTCAATGCCACATAAAAAATGAAAAAGCTGGTCTGAAATGTCCAAAAGAGTGGCCACAGGGTAAACAATAGGTAATTTAATAAGTCCCACACAAATAAAAAAAAAAACAGATACTACATAAAAACTATTGGAGAAGTAGTTCAGTTCCTAGCAGTAAATGAACTAGTGCGGAAAGCTCCAGTGGTGATGATTTCTCTGCAAGACTGTTCTTAATGATTGACTACACACTGGCCAAAGACTCCAAATTTAATTAAATAAACAAACACATCCCAGAAAATGCTAAATACACCTCTCACAACACTTGACCTCTACAAGAGTGCTCCAAAGCGTGTCACTTTTGCCATACAGGCAGCAGTAAATAAGAATTATTTGGTTTACAAAGGTCAAACGATCTGGACTTTTGCTCAAGGTATTCTTGTTCCACCCTCAGTCAATGGATGCTTTCAAAGGTCAAAACCCCTGGGTCCATTTCTCTCCGATTGAAGCTGCCACACCGTTAAGCCATAACAAATGGTTGTGTGTACATACCCTGTGAACCCACGGTGGTGTGTGTCTCTCTAAAGCTTACAATGGGGCAAAAAATATATATTTGGTCAGCCAACAACTGTGCAAATTCTCCCACTTAATACGATAAGAGAAGTTTGTAATTTCATCATACCCCAACTGAGACAAAATGAGAAAAAACATCTAGGAAAATACATTGTTTGATTTTTAAATAATTTATTTGTAATTTATGGTGGAAAATAAGTATGTGGTCTCCTACAAGCTAGTATTTTTCTGTCGCTCACAGTCCTGTAACTTCGTCTGTACGAAGCTCCTCTGTCCTCCACTCATTACCTGTATTAATGGCACTGGCTGGAACCTGTTATCAGTATAAAAGACACCTGTTCACAACCTCAAACAGTCACAGTCCAAACTCCACTATGGCCAAGACCAAAGAGATGCCAAAGGACACCAGAAACAATCTTGTAGACCTGCACCAGGCTGGGAAGACTGAATCTGCACTAAGCAGCTTGGTGTGAAGAAATCAACTGTGGGAGCAATTATTAGAAAGTGGAAGACATAAAAGACCACTGATAATCTCCCCCCACGCAAGATCTCATCCCATGGGGTCAAAGTGATGACAAGAAAGGTGAGCGAAAGTCCCAGAACTATTTGGGGGGACCTAGTGAATGACCTGCAGAGAGCTGGGAGCAAAGTTACAGATGCTACCATCAGTAAGACACTAGGCTGTCGGGAACTCAAAGCCTGCAGTGGCAAATGTGTCCCCCTGCTTAAGCTAGTACCTTATGATGTATGTTAGAGAGCATTTGAATGATCCAGAAGAGGATTGAGAGAATTTCATGTGGTTAGATGAAACTAAAATAGAACTTTTTGGTAGAAACTCTACTTGTCGTGTTTGGAGGAGAAAGAATGCTGAGTTGTATCTAGGGATGTGTATTGGTGAAATTCTGGCGATACGACACGTATCACAATGCAGGGGAGACAATACAATGTATCACAACATATTACGATACATTCAGTCAGACGTCATTAGCGATGTTTTTGACTGAATTTACTGTAGGAATATTCAATAAACAGTTCAATCTGATATTAAACATGTTTAACATGAGGTATCAGAACCATAACAGAAGGATTTACATTTCAATGGTGAAAACAAAACCCATTGCACACTGCTGCTAACTAGTGGATGGCATTTGAATTGCACCAAAAGAAAAGAAAATACACAAATGTTTGCATGTAAATTCTTGCAAAAATGAGATACACGGCTTTGAATATCGATGTAATATCACAGAAAAATATCACAATATATTGCCATATCAATATTTTCGATGCACAGCTTTTGAATGTCAATATAATATTGCTGGAAAAATATCATGATAAATTGCCATATCTATATTTTCTTACATCCTTAGTTGTATCTAAAGAACACCATACCTACTGTAAAGCATAGGGGTGGAAACATCATGGTTTGGGGCCAGGACGACTGATCTGTGTAAAGGAAAGAATGGATGGGGCCATTCTTGGGTGAAAATCCCAATTGAAGAGACTTTTTTGAGTAAATACATTGCCACAATTTAAAAAGGTATATCTTTATGAAAAACAATGGGCACAGTTCTTTTATTTGATAACGACCTAGTCAGCCTTTACGTCAAAATATATTTTTAGTGAAGCTGTAACTACAGAGTAAGGAAACTCAGTTTAAAATTGGCTAAATTGCATTTTATTGCTAGTGCAATTTAAGCTTTTTCAGCTCAGTCTAAATCACAAAGCTCTTGAAAGGAAGCAGCTGGATCTCATTCTGGCCTCTCAACCAAACAGCTTCTCTATCCTGGTGCAGATTCTCACTTAGAAATTAAATGGAAATCATCTTCTGTAATGAGTGTCAGACATTTTTCTACAAATGCATTATCAAATTAACATCCCGTTTCTGCTATTTCACATTTACAAATGATAAAAAATTCGAAAAAAAAAATAGTGTCTCACATCTACAAACAAAACCAAAATTTGCTGAATGGTAAGTGTGGAGGGGGGTGGGATGGAGCACCAAGCTGACCAGGATTAAAGTAAAGGACCTTTTACTCTCACTTATTATTTTCCTTATATAAATGGAAAATAATAAGCTGCCATTCTGGAAATGAAAAATATATATGTAATTCTGAACATCGTTCCTCCTGAGGAGGATGGTCTTTGCTTTGTAATCTGAGGCTGAGAGGAAGCAAATGTGAGGCGTAAGGTACAACTTGCACTAGAGTGTTAGATAATTAGTCTGTTTTTGGTCTAGTTAAAGTGTAGGCAAGCCACTGAAATAACAGGCTATATATGTTGTTCTACTATCTTAATCATTTTTGATAAAAATCATAATTCAGATCTGGTGGCCAAATAAACAGTCATTGAGTTAAAAACAAATGCCAAGCACACAGCATGGTAAGAATTACAAATCAAGTACTATGCCTGGAACGTGGACGAATAAAAAACAACAAAGCTTTAACTTTAAAGACAAAATGGTATTTGAATATTAGCTGTTTTAGCATTTGCTTTCCAAAGTCCAAGGACAGTTCTCTACAATGATTCATAAAACGTGAAAACAAGA